GGTTCGAATCCCAGCACCCACATGGCAGCTAACAACTGTCTGTAACTTCAGTTCCAGGGGATCTAACAGTCTCTTCTGTCCTCTGCAGGCATTGCATGACTCAGGTGCACTTACCTACAGGCAGGCAATACATGCATACACATAAAATAAAAATAATAAAATATTAAAAAAAATAAAGGGGAGAGATGTTGAGACAAGTTTTAAGACAGGGTCTCACTCTGTAGCCCAGGCTGGCCTAGGTCCCACAATCCTGCCTCAGCCTTTCCAGTCTGGGATTACAGATGTGTACCTCCATGTGCCACTGGACTTCCAGCACTGGTTGCTACTGTAGACTATTGGAAGGAAATTAGAAGGCTTGTTAGCGAACCATTCAATGGCTTTTGTTGACTGGACAGTTGATAACACAGGAGATATATGGACTATATACAGGGTGTGTGGAAGCTGGGAATTAATGACTCAAAGGCTTCTAAGAAGTTGGAAGTTAGGGTTGGACAGATGGCTCAGCAGTTAGAGCACTGTCTGCTCTTGCAGAGGACCTGGGTCTGATTCCCAGCCCCACTTGATGGCTAACAACTGTCCATAACTCCAGTTCCAGGGGATCTAACACCCTTTTCTGGCCTTTGCAGGCACTGCATGCACACAGTACACTGATACATGCGGATAAAACACTCAGACACATAAAAATAATAAAGTGTTTAAAAAATACATAAAAAGTTGAGAATCGGCTGGTACAGATTTGGGAGGGGGAAATTGGGAGTTTAGTTTTGTTCTTGTCTGAGATGCCAATCAGATATAGAGAAGTTGAGTGAATGCTTGGATAATAATAAATCAGGAGGGGGATAAATTTAGGAGCCATCAATACATAGATTTAATACTAATGGAATATTTTGATGGAAGAAAGAATATGTGAACAGTTTCTGCTCAATTTTGAGAACTGAAACTGCCTTTAAAAAACTTTATAAGCAAGTTGTGAAACCATTTAAAATTAACAGTGGATATATATTTTTTTTTTGAGACAGGGTCTCCCTGTAGCCCTAGCTGTTCTGGAACTCACTATGTAGACCAGGCTGGCCTTGAACTCACAGAGATCCACCTGCGTCTGCCTCCCAAGTCCTGGGACTACAAGCGTGCATCACCACGCCCAGCTCAACAGTGGATTTTTTTTTTTTTTGGTCTTTTTGAGAAGGTCTCCCTGTAGCCC